ATGGGATATCCACAAAGGATACCAAGGATGGTCGTGGATCAATACAAGATTGAGAAGAAGAGTCCAACATATAATAAAGTCTTGAATGAAGCTTGGGTTGATGGGGTTTTCTTTACTAGTGAACCAATCTTGGGAGTAAAGCATGATATGATGCATTCTTCCTCAACTTCAAGTTCACTAACTAAAGTGATAATGGTTCCGTTAATGGAAAAATTGATATTGATATGATATGAGGATACCACAACCAAGTTGGCGTGGATCCAAGGTCGTGCTAGCAACATTTTATATTTATTTTATAGTATATCCGCTACATGGAATAGAGTTGACCGAACAAGGGGTCCTATTTGGAGATTAAGTTGAACTATACCTTGCGTGGTTCGAGTGGTCCCGTCATATGCACGAACAACTGTAGTCAAGAGCAAACCAGGAAGGGTAAAAATGAGACTTCCTAGTTGTACTCGATGTGAAAATCTTCCATTTTGCACAAGTGTCTATTAAGACCCTCTTGATTTTTGGTAGTGGCCTACAAAGGCCTCTACATACAGGGAGTATGGGGATTGCAAATGTAAAGTCAAAATCATTCTGAGTGAAGGTAATTGGTTGGGGAGAAAATAGACTTCCCGCCATAGCAATTTAAATTTTGCCACTAATGATTTAAAATTTAAGTGATAAAATTTTTTACTTGCAGCAAAAATATGCAATTTTTACAGCAACAATTTTTTTTCCTGTCACTGTACGATAATTTTAGTGACAGTAAAAGTTGCCATCGATAAGTCTTTGCAAAATAAGCCCAAACAAAAGTTCTTCGCTTTATATTTACCCTAACTCTTTGCCCCCCCCCCCCTTCTCTTTCCCTCTCGATCTCTAGATCTGAAATTTCAATGGTGGCACCCTTGACTGTTCGAGCATCTTGTGAGCGTGGTGTGTTGTGTCGTCGTTCTACGGCCACTACTGTATTTGTGTTGAAGAATTGCAAGGTAGGGTTTTCTTTTAGATCTTTCAATTTTTGTCCTCCCGTCAATCTCTCACTTATGTCCTTCGAAATGCTTGATATCATGTTCGAGTTTGTTAAATTGAGTGTGATTTCATGGTCAAGTGATGTTATGAGATGAATATTTCCTTCTTTGTGTTATGGACTTAATAGGCGACTTTTGATTTTGGATTTTGGTTGTAGTTTGTGTTGAATTGGCGATATTTTATAGTGAATCAACGAAATCTAGGCCTTTCTCACTATATTGTTCGATGAAAGTTTTGCAAAAGTGATATACTGCTAAAGTTTATATCGTGAGATGTGGTTTCTTGCTTTGATTGACATTAATTCTATAGGAAACTCAGTGGCTCTAATTTTGTTGAATACTTGTTTAGATCCTAAGTTGTATCCCTCACGCACGATATCGAAATTTTGGTATTGTTTCTCTCTCCCTCTCTATCTCTCTCTGGACCTCCCAGTGGTGGTCATTCTAGTACCGTAGGTGTCATGTTCCTTCTCATTAATCAAGTATAGACCTAATATGTGGCTTTAATTTATGCTTCTTTGGTTTATTGTTGTTCTGGTTAATGTTTACCGTTTATATCTGTTACTCTGTCTATATTCTATATGCTTAGAGAATCTGACAAAAAGAAACTGCCCATGATAGCGGTGTGGGGTGTGTCTCACTTCAATTTTTTTTGGTCTTTATCTGATGAGCTTGCTAATCTCTACCGATCATTTCTGGAGAGTGTAAAATATTTGCATCATCTGTTGCAGTTGTATGCCCGAGTGTAAGCTTGCGCTGAATGATAGAGTGTTGTTAGAGTCACAGGGACGATCAACTAAGGGAAAAGTCTTTGATCTAGATGACATCAAATTTCATCAGCATGTAGTCTAACCCTTGGTGTGGTTTTTTTACTCTCTCTCTCTCTTCCTTGCTCCTTGTTCTCCTACTCATGCTACTCTTTGTGTAGGGGTGTTCATTTGGCCCGCTTCAAAAATGATGAGGCAGTATCATTTATACCTCGTGATGGTTCTTTTGATCTCATGACATATAGACTCAGGTTCTCCTTTTGGTTATGTGGTTTTTGTCCTTACTTGTTCACGTCTTCATGTACTACCTCATATAATCATATCCAGGTGCTAGAAATTCCTTTTTTTTGAAGTTGAAAGATGCAGATATTATCTATACTTTGCAGTGGATCTGGAAATTGACAAGGATGCACTAAAGCTTATTACATCAAGATCAGATGGATCTTTATGGGATGTTGAGATGACCGTTGAACAACTGAATTTGATTGGGCAGTGAATCTCTGTTCCTCTTGTTCAGGAACTGGTAAGTTATATGTCTGTTTAGCAAAACTAAAACAGATTTTTGGAATTGTTTTTCTTACCCTGCATCATTTTATTATCTAATTACCCACAACCAATGTTGTTATACACCAGCAACCTCTATTGAATTTCATGTGCTTGCATTCATCAATTTAGCAACTACATATGTTTCAGAGAATAGGCATTGCCCTGTATTTAGAGCTAGTACTTACATCTCTCGAATATTGCTTATCCTGTTAACATTAATGTCCTAAAAAATTGTTTTTTTCCTTGGCTTAGATAGATGCTGCCAACACTGCTTGTCTTTTTGTGCGACTTGGTTAATTTGTTGAGTTTTTATTGCTAAACAAATTACTATCCTACAGCAATCTTCACTTGATACTTGCAATTGGTTAAACACTTTACCAGAGACGGTTGATAAGGTTCCACAATTCATTCAAGTTAATGCACGTGTTTGGCCATAGTACTTCCTTTAGTTCTTAGTTGTCAACATAGCCAAGGAGCCTTTCTGGCATATAACTTTGTGTAAATTGTTTTTTCGTCCGTTAATTTTCCTGGTTTGTCAGACTATGTTGATGACCAGGGATACTACTGTAATGATATCTGTTTCTTTTTGATAAGGAACTTTTATGATGGCCCATGGAAACAATGCCCTTTTGGTGCTTGTGCAATGCCATCCTTCAAGCCTCTTCAAGGCAACCTTTCAGCCAGTGGCTCACTTTATTGCTCATCCAAAATTATTAACTAGTCCTCAAATTTATTACTGTCATATGATGGGTGATAGATAGTCTACATTTGGTCAACTGAAGTCCTTGTTTTAGGCCTAGGGCTTCTTGGCCAATGGAGTACGATAATTTTGATTCACAAAGATGTATATACTTCGTCTGCATGGATCAGAGCCTCTCATCAAAGAAATAAATAAAATTTGAACTAAAAATAGGAGTATCTGTAAAAGGCTATTAGTGGGCTCATCCTTTATGCCATATGCTGAATACTGATTCTTTTTATAGAATTTTGATGAACTGCATAAAATTGAAAATGCCAAAAAAGGGGGGACTCATCCCTTGTATGTGTGAGGTTTTATTTTATGTTACTCTTTAATGTGCTTGAATTTAGTGCTCAACATGCCTTGAATTATGTATTACCTGCAGAACATCTCAAAACCTCTTACTGATTTGTGGGGGTTGCTATGTATGAATTGCTGAGATGATTATTAATTGCGGGTTGGGCTCATATCTGACGAGAAGTTAGTAGATCTACTCGATTTAGCATTATCTGCTGACACAGTTAACACTGTAATCAATTTAATTAATTTATTTTTATCTCTTTTACTAATTGTTGTTTGATTATTTGTTCATATGTTATACTCTTTGTGCTTCCTATTAATGTTGGGTAATTTTTGTTTGGTACAAACCAGTGGAAGCTCTGATAACAGTTTTGGAAGGTTCACTTTTAAAGACTAAGACGAAAGATTCAATAACCTGTCAAAAATTGAATGTGTAGTTGAGAGTTGATTGTTGTGCAATTACTTTCTTTTGAGTAGGTATCATTGTCTAGTTGATAGGACACAATTTGAAATCATGATCATAATTTTTTTGTTCATTCCTATTCTTTAATGATGATGCATTGTACACGTACAATTTAATGATACTAATATCATAATATTATTTTTACATGATTTGATTTGGGAATTATATCTTTGAAAGTGAGTGTTTGTGTTATTATGTTATTTGTTTCCTCATTGGGTATATATATTGATTCATTGAACTATAACAGGTATGTGAAATTGGAAAATATTCAAAAATAAATTCTTTCAAATATGTAATAGGTGTTTTTATGTACATTTTAATGTATTAACCGAAACAATAAGTTATCACTAAAAGCATGTTTCAAATTTTAATGGTAATTTTAATTATGGGTAAAATATATACTTTTAGCCGTAATTAATTGTTGTCACAAAAAGTCAGATTTTAATTGGAATTTTAGTGATGACATGGTATATTTTAGTGACAAAATTTCGTTAACTCGTTACAATAATTATTGTGGCTAACATTATTGAAATTTTCATATTGTGGTTAAAAAATTTATTTTTAATGGTAACAATTAAATGTCAAAGTTAAAGGATTTAGCCACACATATTGTCACGGCCTAGTGGCAATAAAAATTGTCACTAAAGTATATATTGATATTTTTTATACATTTAATTGCAACAATTTCTGAGACTAAAAGACCAATTTCTTGCGGTGGAGGTAAGGGAAGCTGAAAGGGTGGCACAATAAAGTACTGAGCCCATCTACAAGAGGCTTTCGTTACTGTGGAGTTTAGAATCACCTCATGTACAGACCTTTATTTTCAAATACATTTATGTCTCGAAACTTTGATGCCTGGTTGACAATGGAATAACCTTTGTCACTACACCGAGACCCACCTCCCAAATAGAACCCCCAGTGCAACCCCAAAATAAGTTCCATGAGGAAAGGAAACTTCTTCTTGTCCTTGCTATAGGTCATCTGCAAAAACAAAAGTAGTGTTTCACCCCCCCCCCCCTCCTCCCCCAAAACTCAAGAATGGAAAAAATTATGTTCTACCAGGAAACTCAATTTAGCATAGACTAACTTATCAGTTCCAATACAATGAAATATGTATTAAACTCCAATCAATGACAACAATAAGGTCTTCTCTTACTGTCCAATCTTGGGAATTTTCAAACAAAGGTTACATAATTAAATTGCATAGAGGCATATCATTCAGCTACTGATCTTCAACCGTGTGTATGATACAGAGAGAGAGAACCTCAAAGCAAACACTCTTTTTCTTATTGTTAAAGAAAGCTCATTTGTTCATTCTTCATCATCTTATTCATCATCTCTTTCTATTTGCTTGTCACGCTCATCATCATCATCTTCTTCTGCTGCTTCTTCTATTTGCTTGTCATCATCATCATCTTCATCTTGTTCATAATAATTGTCGTGTTTGAGGCTAGATGACAAGAAGGAAAGTGGTGACTTAAAAGGCGAGAAATAGTTTAGCCTTGAAATGAAACTGGGCAATAGTGCATAGATAACTATCTTCTTTAATTTTTCAGGGGGAAGTGAGAAATAAAAGGAAGAAATTGAAAAGAATAAAGACATACAGTTCGCTTGCATTTTGTATGGTTGTGTTAAGATCACCCATCCAAAATTCTTGTCCGCCAATGGATATATTTCCTTCTCCTAGCTTTCCTGTGCTTAGTGGTCCAGAGCTGAAAGTCTTCATGTTTGGACAGCCGCTGATTTCCAGTTTATTCAATGACGGAAATTGAAATTCACAGTTTCCAGAGCAAAAGCAATTGAGGTTTTCTAGATTTGTAATCGATATCTCTTTCAATTGTGGAAACAAAATTGTGTCCCCTATCATTTGTTCTTCCTCCTTTGTAGTAACAATCTCGTCTAAAATCTTGATCTTCAAAAGATCTTCTTCCGTGTCAATAATTTCTTCAATCATCTTGCACTCATAAACCTGTAGCAACATTAGATTCCCAAACAATTTTGCCATAGTAGGTGACAATAGGTATCTCAAGCTGTCACACTTCCTAATTTCAATCCATGTCAAATTCTGAAAACCTTGAAGGTTTTTGGGAACCATCCTCCATACATGCATCAACTTAGGTAAATAAAATAATTCCAATGACTTCAACTGACCAAGTGTGACTTCTGCATGATCTCTCCGAGCTGTTAACCCCTCGAAGTTAAACACTGCTTCCAGTTCGCAACAACCATTGACACGAAGGAATTGGAGATTTGGAAATAGTTTTTGCTGACCAGGTGCAACAACATTGAAAACCTTTTCACAATACGACACATCCAAGCCTCTTGGTTTGTGGAAGGACCCACCTTGCATTTGGTAGTCTACTATGTGCACCACACTGATTCTGCCGAGATACAGTGTCTCCAAGTTAGGCAGAAAAACCTGCGATTATATGAAGTTTTCAAGAAAGTGATCATGATAAACCGTATGTATGGCCAATAAACAATTAACTACACGCAGCACAGAAAAAAAAAAGGAGCTTCATTCACTAAAACATCAACCTATATCAAACCCTCTACTTGTTGCGGACAAATTGCACTTTAGGGCATGCAGCATTTTTCAATTAAATTTTGACGAATTATATTTGAAAATAAGTCTTTTTAATTTACAATATAAGTCTTAAAGATTGATTAAACATAGAAGGACCAAAAGTAAGTATACAATATCAATGCAAACAAAAAAGTTACAAAAAATGAGGTTAATTATATAAGAGATGTGATCAAAATATCAATATTAAAGTCATAACTTGTAATATCAATACCAAAGTTTGAAGGTTGTGGCGTGTGATACGTCACTGATTACTGGTGTTTTGTTTGCTTTAGTGCTTTTGGAGAGAACTTTAGAATTGAGTAGACCAGAAATTCTTTTATACAATTTCTTTTTTTTATTGTTGACTCCTAGAGATTCTATAGTACATTCTATTTTTATCACAGTCCATTAACCAAGAGAGATTTGCTCTACTAAAGGACCCAATTTTGTTTATTTAAAGATATTAGGGTGGGCATAATTGAAAATATTAAAAAAATATATATACACAAATCATACATTGGTAAAAAACAAATTTCAGGGTGGGCCGGGCCCCTGGCCCATGTGTGCCTCCACCACTGTTAACAACATTTTAGTTATTAAATATTTAAATAAATTATTTTTTTCAAAAAACTTAGCCACCACCACATTTTACGATCAGCATAAAAAAAAAATTGGGTGACATACCTCAAGGGTAATTGACTATTACCCAAAGTCTATTGCAAGTCACATGTTTGTAATGCCATTTTATAATAAACAAATTAACATTTCTAACAACTAATTCTATAAAAAAAATTAAGAATTCAGATTAAGTACTAACTCAATAGAATTCTTAATAATCTACAAAAAAGCAAGTAGGTTCCTAAAAAGACAAAAACTTGGAAGTGGGGGAGAATATTTGTGTATTGTTTGTAAAGAGAAATACAGAGGTGAAAGAGAAAAAAAATAACGTAATGATGGTGAATTCAGGAGCAGCAAAATCCCAATTCAGAGAAACTATTTTTGTGTGGTGGCGAAACTCCTTCGCCCCACTACAATTTCTTACTTTCTATTTCTTTCTTTAATCATAAATGCATTATAAGTATCAGCAAGTTAAGGTATTCATTTCTAAAGTATCTTTCATCTTTAACAAAAAAATCTTTTCCCTAAATTATTTGTTTTTTCACAGATGAAAATAAATTTGTTGCCTTCTCACAAACATGTTCATTTCTAAGTTGTTTCCCACTAAAGGCTGAGGTGTGATGTGTACAAACAAATCAAAATAAAGTAAAACTACATGTCAGTGTTGTGTTAAAGTAATTTTGGAGATATATATTCAAGAAAGAGAAGCACACCTGTTTGGGGAACAAAATATCAGAGTTGGAGCAAAAGCTTCTAAGCATGTCCAGATCTTGCAAATTCAAGTACGTCAGTTTTGGGAAAACGATGGTTTCAGAATCTTTTTCATCTTCTCCTCCTTTCTTTGCAACAATGTATTCCACTTTCTTACACCGAAATAGAATTAGTTGTTGGAGTTGCACCAAACATTTGACCATGGACTCTGGAAATAGACCCTTCATTGCAGGTAGGTTCTCTAGCCACAACATTTGCAGTTTTCCAAAGGCAAAGGTCTCCCCCGGAATATCCCTACAAATAAGATATTTGAGCTCATCACAATACCAAACACAGAGTTTCTCCCAGCTTACCGAATCATCTACATCAAGGGCATCGAAAATATTACTTCCCAAGCCTTTCAGATTTAGAAACGAGACATGTTTGGATCTCTTCAACAAAACTTTTATCCCAAAGTCATAAAGCATACCCAAGTCACAATCATTGAGACTCAAGCTGTTTTGTAACCCGTAGCCTTCCGACAGACTGAATGACACCGGATCACCAATTGTTATGCGAAATCTTCTCAGGTTATCAAAGCAAAAGTGTTTCAATTTTAGCACAGCAGTTACACTTGTGCAAATATCTAACGTGTTCAGATAAGACATTGAGTTCAACTCTGCAATGCTATCATTCACGTCATTTTCGCCTGCATACAACTCTTCAAGTTTATCCAGCTTGGACAAAATATTTGGCGAAATTCTTCCAGGGCGTCCCGCAAACCTCAAATCCAATATTTGTAGATGCTCAAGTTGTCCAATTTCACTCGGTAATTCCTCAATGTAAGATTTAAAAAAGCTGAGAACTCTCAAGCTCTTTAGGCTTCCAATCATGGAGGATGTGTTATTGTCCAGCCGGCAAAAATCCAAACACAATGTTCGAATATTTAGCAAAGATTTGAGTGGTGGTGGTGGTGGAAGCAGAAGGGCATTGATCTGAAATCAACAACTTTGAGTTCTTTCATCCCTTTAAAAAAACCTATTGAGTCAACTCTGGTACAACTCTCATTAGTAGGGTCGTCTCGTGGAACACCCTTGCATTGCACCTGTAAGAGCTTGAGGTTCGGACAATCTAATCCAATAGGAAACTTGTCCAATTGGTCGAACATCAATGAGATGGCTGAGTAATGTCTGAATGTATCTTCTTGTGGCCACTCTTTCAATCCTGCATCACACCTTACCAAATATGCTTCCCTACCTTTAGATGCAATTGATATGCATACATCGCGTACAACATCATGTAATTTCACTTTCTCTCCATCACCGTGGAGTATCAAGAAACGACTTTTGAGTTGATCGTTTAATGAGTACACCATGTCTCTTGCTTCTGCCACAGTTTCAACTTTTTCAAACAAACATAGTCCTACCACATATCTAACCAAACACTCGAGAGGAATATCAGAATCTTCCGGAAATAAACTGTAAAGTCGAAGCAATGACTTGGCTTCTTCTCTGTTCAACAGATTGTAGCTCAACTCTATACTGGTTTGAACCTTTTCTGGCATTCTGTTACACCTCTGTAGTTCTCGAAGTGCATTATTCCACGAATGCTCCTTTTCACCTTTCAGTGCCTCGGCGAGAGTTACAATTGCAAGAGGTAAGCCTCCACATTCATTTGCAACCTCTTTTGCTATGGCTTGTGGCACAGGGATGTCATTGGTAATTCCCGCCTGCTTCTTAAAAAAATTCCATGCTTCGTCTTTAGGTAGGACTTGGACTACAATGATTTTTTGAAATTCCATCTCAATACAAACACGTTCGTTTCGAGAAGTCAATACAATTGTGCACCCTTTTTGGCCAGCTCCAAAACAAATTCCAAGTTTTTTCAAATCAAGTTTTTCCCAAACATCATCTAATATTACAAGAATTCTTTTCCCATTTGACAATCTCGTACAAAGTCTGTCTGCTCTTGCACGAAGGCTGGTTTCCTTCTCAAGGCTCAAATCCAACATGTTTGCTATGTCACTTTGAATCTTTATCAAATCTTGATTGTTGGACACAGCAGCCATAGTAACCTCATCAAATAACCTCTCAATCTGTGCTCTTTTGGCAACAGCTTCTACCATTGTGGTTTTACCCACTCCACCCATACCGCATATCCCAATCATTCTGATCTCACCATCCTTCAAAGCCTCCATAACTTCATTTGTCGTCGACATCCTGGATTCAAAGCCTTCGAAATCTTCTGTTGATACAGACGCCATTTGCATGGGTGGTGCAGGGTTAGTCAATTTAGTTAACTTGTCCACCTCTTGTTTGAGCTTATAGATATTCTGAGTCTTTTTCGTGGCTTTCCTACTCACCGAGTAACGAGATACCAGATTCGGGCACCATCCATTCCAACAACCCCTTTCAACTTTGGTTTTGAGTTTAAAAACTTCGTCTACCTCTTTCTCGACCTCTTCCACTTCTGTCAGCCAGTCCTGCACATGTGGTGCAACAACTTCTATGTTTCTTTGGGCTGCGTCTACTGATTGCTGCACCCCATCTCTTATATTTTTTAGATGCATGACCTCTTTTTCCAGATTTTGAATGTTGTTGTTGTAGCAAAATAGATATCCAAACTTTCGTCCTATTGGGAACACCAAGTAATCTACAAAAAGTCCTGTGAATTTTCCCAAAATAGAGAACCCAATTGCCTCGGCCATATCCCAATTCTTTTCCTGTTTTAAGAGAAGGAAGAGTAAGCAAAACTTTCTAAAGACTCTTGATATACTTTCCGAGCAGAGTTGAACAAAGATTGGCAGTAGATATTGAGAGGGGCGTATCAGCTGCAAAATCACAACGTAAGAGAAATGAGAGTATGTTTTTCAGTTATAAACTTCTAGAATGCATTGTAATTGTTTTTATTACTTATGTCGTCCACATTGGCAAAACATCACCATATCTCAAACTCTCAAAGTCTTGCTGAAAATATTCAGTAGCTTTAGTTATATAAAATCCATTAATTAGAGTTGAATTTGGATACCAAAATATAATTAAATATGCTATCAGTTAAAAATATAGACAAAAAAAATTGAAAAGTTATTAATACAAAAAAATTATTTTTCAATAAATGAATACGAGTAAGAATTTTGAATCAAATTATTATAGTTCTCAACCAAGATTGATTCAAATTATTTCTAGTTTAGAGCAAAAGATAGTTGCACACGAAACACATGATAGATTGTGTTTTTAAATTACATAAATTCAACATTATTACATGTTCTACACAAACATAGTTAAACAAATTGTGGACTTAATTTATTAATTTAATTACTCATAATTATGATTGATAACCTAGTTGAGTTTTATGAGCACATGTCTAACTTGTCAAACTTGTTTTTTTAAACGATCTTAAAAAATTATTCAAAACGAGTCGAACCTTGAATAGTTTGACTCAATTATTAATCTTACTCATAATTATTTGATCGACAAAAAATCTTATTAGTCTTTAAAATACTTTATCAATCTAATGGTTATACTAAATAGTATTATTGTAACAAATTACCCTTCTTGATATGTCGTTGTTGCTCCTATAATACAACTCTGATTCATATATAATGACACACATACAGACACTCACTCTTTGATATATATTAGTTGGCGCACATGTGCATGCGAAAAGTGAGAGTAATACATTTTCTATTTTTCAAGGAATAAATCTTTTCTTCTCTCATTTGTGTTTGGTAAGATAAATAGAAAATAGAAATGATTGATTTTTTTTTTTTGTAAGATGGGAAATTTTTTTTTGAAAAAATATAACTATTTATTTTACCAAAATAGAGAACCCAATTACCTCTGCCATTTATGGTTTTTTCCTTTTTTTGAATAAACGTTCAACAAAGAAAAGCAAAAAGCCAATAATAAGAACAATAGATTGGGCTCAAATTGAAAAGATAACAGAGTCAAGGCAGAAGATGTTTTGAAGAGAAGGAAGACATGACAACTCTTGAATTAAAAAAATGTGCGCAGCCCAGATAAACTTTCTGAGAGAGTTGAGCAAAGATTGACAGCAGATATAAAACAGATCAACTGAAAAGATATTGAGAGAGTTGTATCCATTGCAAAATCACAATATAACAGAAATGAGAGTCTAATTTACAGTTATTAATAAACTTCTTTAATGTATCTTGGCTAGTTTCATTGAGTTTTGTCACCCAGATTAGCAAATCATCTCAATATCTCCAGTCTTATAAGCAGTCAAAGTGCCTACTCAAATCTTTATAGTCCGCAAATTATAATTGTTCTTATCCAAGATTGATTCAACTTATTTCTACAAACAAACATATTTGAGCAAAAACTCTTCCAAGGGAAGGGGGATTAAATAAAAGCATTTTGGGCTCACCTGGTAGCACAAAAAGGAGTTGCAGACCAAAAAAATTTCAGCAGTAAGAGGTAGACAGCAGCAACAATATAGAGAGAAGTATATTCACCGGCGATTGACGATTGAGAAGGATATATAAGTGGGTAGTAGTATGCCTTCAAGAGAGTAAACAGGATATTTGCTCAACAATTATCGTGATCATCTACCTATCTAGTTGCCCAGAAGTCCGCATAAATTAGTACCCCACACCCATTGTTTAGGCATATCTTAAAGTCGAATTCTTGCAAGTTGCAATTCTTTGTTTAAGCAGAATAGTTCCATGTTACGTTAAATCAAAAAGATTCCCTTGGCCTTTGCTGAAGACAAATGACTTTACACTTCAAAAGTCAGATAAAAAAGTATTAAAAGTTTAAATAGATGGTGGGTGGTTAGTGGTGAAAGAGATGGGTAGGATAGTTATACGTTACACATGTCAAAATATGATTCCAAGAAACTTTTGAAATTTAATTAAATAATTCAAAATTTTATAAAATTAAAATTAAAGAGGAAAGATTTCTCAAACTCTCTTCCTAAGAAATAGTATGTATTATAGATAATAGTATGCTGTTGTGTGTTTTCCATTCGATTGTTTAACCAATAATGCCTGTATTATAATACACCAATTTCTTGCAAGTTGCTTCTTTTTTTTTCAGAAAAAAACATAATTCCCTAGTTCTAACTTTGAATTGAAAATAATATTCACATGGCCTTGACAAAAGACGAAGGCCTGATGAATTAAACAAGCCAATTCATCTATTCACATGCTGCTTTTTCTCACCAATAATGCATACTTTAAGGCAACTTCTTATTTAATATTAAAATAAAAAGTATTTGAGTTGTACCCCCACCTACGA